CAAAATCGTCCAATCGAGCTGTACCTTGCTAGCCTCGACCCTGATTTGGTGGACCAGTTCGCGAGTTGGAGCAAGGACAAGTGCAGATGGGAATTGGATCTGGTACTCACTATTGGCCTAAAAGAAAAGATGATGTTTTGAACAAGCAAGTGACCAGTAGAGTCAAACCAGAATACTTTGATATATTCTAGGGGTTTAAGTAGCTATGCAAACTAAGGGCAAACACTACAGCTTCTACCAAAATGGCATTGCACCTTTCGTTCGGCTACCACACATTTGACTCTACGCCCACAGAGTTGTCACAGTCCAGTCACCCAATTGTATTAGGTAATGAGAATAAATCTCATAAGCACTTCAACTTATCGGAGAATTTGTTTGCCATCACAGTCTGGTCTAAAGGATCACATGATATTAGTACACATATGTTGGTTAAAAACCTATTAAATGGTAAGCTATAAGACGCTAAACCTGAACACCACTGACTTGCCCTCATCAGAACTGGATTATTTTGTTGAAAATCCATCATCTAGCAACATTTCACGCCCTCAAAGCACCGAGAGGTGATTAAACATCAGCCACAACACTCCTTAGGCAAAAGAACAGATCTTCATAGGCAACATAAGAAATTACAAGGGCAGTCATTGAATCCGATGGATATGTGCGCATTATCCGATGAAGTGTTGGCAAGAGATAGGCTAGAGTCTTGCCTGAACCAGTTTGAGCAGCGGCCATCAGATCAAAGGACCCCACAACACCAGCATTTTCGTCAGCAGGCTGATCTTGCAGCATCAGGGGTATAGTATGAACCTGAATTGGCGTCATTTCACCGAGGTTTAAAAGCGATATGTTGTGAAGTAATTTCTGGTCTATGGGGAGATCTACAAACTAGCAAAATACAGCTAAGTGTTTAATGGCTCAGCGATGATAAAAACAAACAGACCATTCATTCCTTTAAATAATTAAATATTTATTGTTGATAAGTCCAGAGTCTTTATAAGTCACTGTCTCAACTACAATAATCTCAACATTTGAAGCACAATGGCATAATTTCGCATAAAGCAAAGCCGGGGTTTGATTTAGACAAAACATTTATAGGTTCACAAACAAACCATTAAAGATACCGCAAAGCCACACGTGCTAAAAAACTGGTATTTGTATTCAACATAATCGCGACAATTGCTTATCTTTCTTGTTTATTCACTGCTAGATACAGAACAAGAATAGTATTTTAAAGGTGCGAAAACCGCTGTTACAAGTCGACCTAAAATCACGAAAATAGATTGCAAAACAAGAAAAGGCACACAAAACTAACACTGGTTTAGCACTACATGAAGCTATACAAGTTGTTAAAATGGAGGACAATAGGGGTTTAAGAACTAGCTTTTGGCTACAATAAAGTAGCCATTAAGAATAGACCGGGTGATAATCCTGGTATGTACTGCATAACGATAAACATACCGATGGAAATTTCCTAATAAATACTGCAATTTCCAGATATTTATTTGAAAAAAAAAACAAGTGAAACTCAATTTACCATCATGAGTCAGGCGCTTACAAGAAGAAACAATAAACAACAATAATAGTTGAAATACCACATCAACACAAATTAAATGCAAGACACATACATGCATACAATTTTTGGACCCATCTTACATTAGTATATGTCGTGTACGTCAGGTTACTATCCACAGGTCTCCCTGAAATATGTGCAATCCCAGAGGAGACACATCGTGACGTGCCTTCCGGACCTCGGCTTTTAGGAAAAAGTTTTCGCTCTAGGTCTTCATTGACAGGTCGCTGTACAGACCACACTGACGGAGGAAGAAAACCCGGGGTGGTAGAGGAGCTCAGTCTGGAACCATTGATCAAATGAATATTGGTGTGAACAAGGGTGTGAGATGCAAAAAAACTGGTTATTCTAAAAAAGAATCAGCATTTTAAAAAAGCCTACACTTTTGAAGAAACCTGGGTACAACTTTTCAAGCAAGTAAGCATTGCAATTCTCAATTCACTCCTAAGGCAATACTGCAGCGTCAAGCTCCTCGAATAGTACGTGGTGTAGTGTGGCGTCGGATCAGGGCGCAGACATCTTGGACCACCTGGCCTCAGCCAATCCTGTGTCCCTCTGCGATCGAATGGCATGCGGGAAAGGAAGGCAGCCAACAAGAGAAGGACATGGATGAGATGCAGTATATAATGAGCGGCGTGGCCAGCGTGGCGGACTCGGATGGAAGGCGCCTGACGCGTGGCTCTGGCTTCTGATTGGTCAATAAAGCCTGTTCTGTTGTACCGGTCTTTTACCTATTTGGGCTCGGGTATTCTACAGTGGCGTCGGATCGGGGCGCAGACATGTTGGACCACCTGGCCTCAGCCAATCCCGTGTCTCTCTGCGATCCAATGGCATGAGAGGGAGATAAGCAGCCAACCAGAGAAGGACATGGATGAGATGCAATATATAATGAGCGGCGTGGCCAGCGAGGTGGACTCGGATGCGATGCGCCTGACGCGTGGCTCTGGCTTCTGATTGGTCAATAAAGCCTGTTCTGTGTACCGGTCTTTTACCTATTGGGGCTCGGGTATTCTACATTGGTGGCAGCGGATGCGTTCGAATAACGCGAATCGAACCCCAGCCCTTTCTCTTCAGTGGTCAACACAGGCAAAGACCCTTTAATGCCAGCTGAATTTGTCATGGCGGTCATCCGATGTCCAATAAAGTGGATCCATAGACATTGCCCGGGATTAGGACTTC